TCACTCACTGTTTAATCAGCTGTTCGTTTGTAAATGTTGAGCATAGTGTGACAGTTTTCTTTGGAGTGTGTGCAGCAATGTCTCTGTGTGTCAATCAGAAAATTTGTGTGGCCCCCTTCCTTTGCACTGCAGAGTTTTGAATTTTGTCCATCTGTTTAGTTGATCTCTTTAACCATTCTCTTGCCCCAGTACTCATGTTTTTCCATTCCAGATCCTTACCCTATTTTACCACTTGCTCTTGTAATCTGGATGCGTGATTCCTTGACCCTCTCTGGCTTCTCACACAGCTTATCCCAATTTTCTCTTGCAGCCTTGCATCTTGCCAGAGCTGTTTCCCAACTCCACCTATCTGTGATAGGGATCAGTGATTTTCTGTCTCCTCTAACTAGTTCTATTCCCACTGTTCATCTCCTATTTTAAAATTCACATAATGATAGAATGGTTTGTGTTGGAAGGGATCTCTGAAGGTCATCTAGTCCACTCTCCCTGCAATAAGGGACACCTTCCACTAGATCAGGTTGCTCAGAACCCCATCCAACCTCGCCTTGAACACTGTCAGGGATGGGGCGTCCACAGCTTCTCTGGGCAACCTGTTCCAGTGTCTCTCCACCCTCAGAATAAAGAACTTCTTAATACTGAATCCAGATCTTTTATTTTAAAACCATTACTCCTTGTCCTATCATTACAGACCTGAACATGGGAGGGTGGGGATGGAGGTGGTGTCTGCACACTAGATGGGTTGTGAAGCTATTTGCATACCACCAGCATTTAGGATTGTCACCCAGCAGGTTCACTCTTGAACCCCCTGATGACTCCCCCATTGCTGATGAATATGCATGGTTGGGTCTCTGCTCAAGTACATCAGCAGTTTGTCTGACATGGACAAATATTTTTGGTTGAGTTGTAACAATGATGGAGAGAATTAACCAGTGGTCTGTTTGCAGGACAGCAATGGTCTGGACCAAGGTGTAATTGTATTTTCTTGCTATATGAAATTATATTGCATGAATCACAGTACAAATATTTAGTCATATATTTGTCTTGAAGTATATATACATGTAAAATGAAATTTTAGCTGGAATGCTTGCTACTGAATACTATTTTGAGAGTCTCAGAGATTATAGTATAACTATTAAGTTATACTTTTCCTGGGGTCCCTCTTTTCTTCTCTTCCATTATCATGAAATCTTGGAAGATTAGCTGGCAAAAAAAATGTCCACTTAACATGCGACACTATCTTTCATTGCTTTATAGCAATAAGATGAGCTATAGTTGGCAACTCCATAGTCTAGAGAGTAAATAAAGAGCACAGTGAAAATGAAAGCATCTTCAAGGGGTTTAGCGAAGTGTGGATTATTAGCCAAGATCCTTGCCAAGACCACACCAGCAGAACATGATGACACTCAGTGCTAACCCCGTGAAACCTGACTGACAGTCTTTGCTGAATGCGTTAAGTGTTTCAGTACTGGAAATCCCAAGTGTCCAATTTTTATTTTTTTTTTCCACTGAAAAGTAGTGTGAGGAGCTGCAGCTGGGCTTTTTGCTTATTGCTTCTGAGCATTTAGTATGCATTCAAGTCACCGCTTGTCAAACACATCTCTCGGCCATATAGCCAAGAAAACTGCTTAAAAATCCAGACATGTGTTTTCATGAAATCTCACCATTACAGCTGCTGAGATTTAGGAAAGCAAAACACTGAAAGCTCAAGATACGTTTGCGGAGGTTGGCAAAATTGTGCTGGCACTAACACACACATTTCCTAAGAGCAGTCTTCATAGAAATCAAGGACGTCTCCAGGTAACAGCCACAGTTTCTCTGCATCCTAGCACTTGTAAGGTAACTGTGAATAACAAGTGACCTTGAATCTCTCTCCATTAACAGAGACCTGAGATTCTTTTACACCTTCTGGTGCTACACACAGAAAAGGTAAATACACTGGTGTTATAAACCCCACTATTTTGTTTAACTGGTAAGTATGACTCCTTACAGATTTTATTAAGTGATTGGATTTGCATTAGGTCCTGACACTTGCAGATGTGTGTTGAAAAATTACTAGAAAACAGTTCCACTGATGAGGTATCTTAGCTGCAGATGTCCTGTTGCAAAAATCTGTTAGCACTGCTTCCAGCAAACATAAATGAACATGAAAAGCTCAGCTAATTAATTTACTGATATAAATGAACTTTCAGACAACCATATAAAGTACATGTACCACACTAAGCGATTGCAGGAGCTTAACAGAATGTGCCACATTGATCTTCATGTTCTGTGGAGGCTTCGTTGCAAGGTCATGTATACTACTTAATTCATGTAAAATATTTGCAAATCTTACTAGCAGCCAATTTTATGGCATAGTGTAAAGGAAAAATTAGTTACCTTTGCTTCAGTATCTGGGATCAAGTGATCCACATTTACTGGTTATGTAGTACATAAATCACAAAATGCTCAACAAAACCTCAGTGAAACAACAGAGCCAGTTAGAGTTTTGTGTACAACTTAAAGAGTTTGTAGCTACAACTAGTCTATAATTAACTGTAATGCTTAGCAAAAACCATCTTGGAGATAATGGAGGGGAATGAGATACACACTGACTTACTACGAAAAGTAGTAAGAGAGCTTCTTTGCTCCACCAACATTTTATATCATTTATCTGAGTAAGATTTGGATATTCTTTACTGCTGTCATGAAAACCGTCTGCTATGAAACATTTGCTTATTAGGTCTGCAACTGAAGAAACAAAATGAAGATTTTTAGAGAGTGACAGAAGTTCAAGGGGTCCCACCTTGACTTACTTATAAAATACCAGTGAACAAATAGCCTTCCTGATTTTCAGCATGCTAACTGCTGTGAAAACACTGGGAGAAAAATACTAGAAAAGATGTCAAAGTGTAATGCTTTAAATACCCACACATGCTTTTGCCCCCAGAAAAGAAACATGAAACAGAGAGAACACAGCATCTGGCTAATTTGCTGAGTCAACTGGTATTAGAGGTAACCCTCACCCACGGATTTCAGTGACTAATTTGACAATATTCAATCAAATTTCAGAAGTGCCTGTTAATTCTTAGAGTTTCAATTTTGACACAGACTGTACTTAGCACAGAACATCTTTCAGCTATCATTGACCGGAATGAGATCTTCAAGAGCCTATGAAACAGATTAATGTTGTCATAAATTTTAGTATTAGTAAGAGCTGTTATGGTAATTTAGTCAGGCTTCTTTGAATTCTTAGAGCACTTCAGTAAATGTCGCTTGCATGGAGCCTGTAACTTACAGCTGAGCTAACACATCCATAGGAAGGCTTTCAGTCTTGATTTAAAGACTTGTATGATAGTGAGCCTATCACATCCTAGATAAAGTGCTTCACAGTTAGTTACCTCAGATTTTTTTTTTTTTTTCTATTTCAGTTTCTAGCCATTTGATTTTATTATGACCTTACCTGTTAACCCACCCTTTCTACCCAGGAATCACAATTAGGCAAGCTGCAGTATAGCTCACTTTAAAGTGCTTTAAGAGTGTCAGAGAGGAAAAACACACGTACACAATCCTGATATACATGGTCCTGATAAGCTGCCAGGGCCCCTGGAGCAGGCAGTGCAGGAAGAAGCATCAGGGCCCTTGGTGCAGACAGGAAGGGCAGGCAGCACACCTGCAATTATGGCAATCGCATAGAGACGTGATGACTCCCAAGTCCCCAGTGTATTCCAGTATGTGGTGTTCAAATGAGGCTAGCATATTATACGATCATTTCAATCAACCTACCCTCATCATCACTTAGCACTTCACATTTGGTCACCTGATGTATTTATTTATTTGGTCCTTGGCATTTATTCTGTATTCTTTTGTATTACATATTAGGGATATGACAGAAGTCTGGCTTAAAACCAGTAGTCACCACAGGGACCTCCACAGATGTATCCCCATGGACTGTGCTAGTTGTGCTTGAGAGAAGGAGCCTCCACTACCATTTTTCCGAAAGAAATATTTAAGCCTGTAGTCCCTCAAAATATCAGAGAGCTTGAAGGATGGGTTGGGTCATATGTTGAACACCTAATTACAATGTCTTGTTATGGTAAAAAGAGGATTTTTTTTTATTTGCTGTAATGTTACAAAATCCTGAAAGAAACTTAAATACAGAAGGCATAAGAGAATAATACTTTTTAAATATACAGCATTTTTAAGAAAAAGGGCTAAAAGCATATTCACATACATGTGTTGTCAAATATATGGCATCAACAAACTGGTAAGAGAGCACATTTGTATGTTAGTCACGTCAAATCTAACCCAGACTTGTCCTTATTCTGGATTCACTCATAGTATATGAATGACTTTAAACCCAATTACAGTATTAAAGTTGATAAATTAAATTTGGGCCACATGCATTGAATGTTCCCCGAAATAATGCTGGTGACAGGTGAATAGAAAAGCATCTCACTCCACACTGGTACTCAAGAGTAGTTCCCAGTTTAGGTAGGGATTTTACTGTAATAAAAATGTAACTCCTTATGAGACATAATTTCACACTGGTGGGGAGAGACAAATAACATATATCACAACTTGGAAAATCCAGAACCTCGTGGGTTTTTTAGCGTTCAGTAACTTCAGGTATAAAACTTGCACACAAAGCGCACTATGTGTTTTGCACAAAAGCAAACAGGTTAAATAATTTCCCTTGACGTGATAAATCAGTGCATACCCTTAACCAATTATTTTCTCACCTCCAGCCCTCCTCCTTAACAGGATTTGTCTCTGGTACCATTTTCCCCAGTGCAGCCATGTCCTCCCAAGTCCTTTATCAGACAGGAGATAGGAGGGGGACAGAAACTTGGCGGGGGGGAAGGGGCCAGGGGCTGCCCCAGGGCACGGGGGCGGTGGCTCGGATTCCAAATGGTGCTGGGGGACGGCAGTCAACCCACGGAGCTCCATGGAGGCGGGAAACACGCAGCAGGACAGCTCTGCGCCGGGCCGGCCCCTCCGCGCCGCTGGGCGGGGCGGCGCTGCCGGAAGCGCGATGAACTCCCGCCTCGCGCTGGGGTTGGGGGTCACGCGCGCCGACGGTGCGGGCTGAGGGCGGCTCGTGGGGCTCTGGTTCGCTCATGGAGGGCTCCGGAGATGAAGAGCCGGAGGCTGACGGGCCGCTGCAGCAGCTGGTGAAGCGGCAGCGCAAGGAGAAGCGAGAGCTCCAGGGTGAGGGGCCCACGGGGCCGGGGAAGGGCGGACGGCGGAGAAGGCTGGGGAGTTGGGGAGAGCAGAGCAGCTCTCAGGCGCCGGCCTCGCCGGGAGATGGTGAGGAGACGTAGGGCGGGCTCGCGTTCTGCTCTCGGCTTTTTCCCGGAGGGCGCTGCAAGGGAGCGAAGCTGGGAGCCCCGCACGGCCCTGGGAGTAGCTAGGGATTAGCCACACGGCTTTCGGGAGGGAGGGATCTGCCCTTGCAGAGCTTTCGCCAGGGGCAGCGTGCGGCGGCCATGGAGATGCGGCGTCTTGACGGGGTGTCAGAGCTGTGCTGCGAGGTGTGGTTCTTGGCACTTCTGGGGCACGGTAACGCTCGAGAGCCGCAACACAATGCTGGGTTCTTAACATTATGTTAGCGTTTTGCTGCTTGTCTTCTGAGGTAAAGAAGGTGTGGTTTTGTTAGGCATTTTAGAGTGAAAAGTCTGCATAAGGGACCTTGCTGCCATGCAGCTTCTTCAGTCCAAGTGCAGTTGATCTGAAATTAGCTTTTATATTCTGTCCAGCCAAAGTACAGTATCTATAGTAGAATATCTCTGTGTTCTTACACTGCTACCTATGAACTGTTCACAAGCCACACTTCACCTACCCTGTTATGGTAGGTGAATATAGTTAAGTAATTTCAGTATTTATCTAGATTCTGTATTGTAGTTGATTCTAATCTTTTTGTTAAGCCTTTCTTGTTGCTGATATTTTGGGGTAAGCTATTACTTTCTGGTAAGTTATTGTTATGGCCTTTTCCTTGTTTGGCTTTTTTTGCCATGTAATGAAATAGCCCCATCTGCAGCCTTTTATCAGTTAGAGGGTTAAAGAAGAGGAGAAACAGTATTGGGCATGGTATTGTCATTATATGCACAGGAACATACTTTTTTGATACGCCTTTTCCTCCTTCAGGTTTGGTTGAAGTTGAAAAGAGGAGTAGGAATTGAGGATCGTGGTTAAGTGGTTGGAGCGCATGGAGCATTGGTTGAGAGAGGCTGAGGAACAAAGGGTTTTTTCACCTAGAGAAGGTGATTGGGGGTATCTAGTTGTAGTCCTCTGCTAAGGTGGGAATGGTATCCAGAAGTCAGAGCCCTTGTATTGCCAGTCAAGAGAGGCAGATGTCCTATAGTCACACATCTTCCTACTTGAAAAATACATTCCTAGTAAATGCAGTGGTAACTGTCTGACAGAGAGCAAAACAATTTGTTCATAAGAATAGCATAAAGCGCATCTCAGCCTCTGAAAATCCAGCATTTCCTCCAGTTGATGACCCTTGTCTCCACCACTCCCATATACTCTCCGTTTGTATTTGTGTGTGCCTCTTAAGTCTCAGATTTCCTTCTCCTCCATTATTAATTTTTATGAACAAAATACTTTAAAACTTTCAAACTCACCTGATCTGTGAGGCTGAATGCTTTGCATAAATCTTTCAGTGTAAGCATCATTGCTCCCTTCTCTTAAAAAGTTTAATTATCATCCCCATCATCTTCAGTTTAATGTGTCAATCACGGGTGAATGACAGGAAATTGTACAGCTGATGAATAGGTGGCAGGGTGTTAAGTAGTTGGGGCTGTAACTCTAAAACAGTGAATACAGAACTAGCAGTGGGTATTCATCTAAGAGCACAGGTTGTGAAAGCTGTTATTGTTCAGCCTGGAGAAGAAGAAAAGGCTATAAGGGATCTGGGTATAGATCCAACTGTGTAATGTATGGACCCAGATTTTGTAAAGTGAAGTGCAGAGAATGAACTAGAGATAATGTCTGAAAGTGGTAACAACAAAAATCCTTATGGGAGGAAAAAGGGAGAATATTTTCATAACAGGAATGGCTAAACATTGGAAAAAAGCAGGCCAGAAAGGTTGCAAAGTGTCCATCCTTGGAGACTTTGCACAGTCATCTGAATAAATTCTAGATCAGTCTGAATCAGTGTTACTGCTGTAGCTTTGAATTCAGCCCTGCATCAGGCAGGAGGTAGAACCAGATGATCTCTGGACATGCTTTCTAGCAAAGCTATTCTGTGGTTTGAGAAATGGAGCATTGAATTGTAGTCTAAAAATACTTAAGGAATTTAAGCAAGTTGAGGTTTATTTCTTCTTGAATAGAAGAAATCTGCTTTTGGAAACTTTATTTAAAAGGATAGGTAAACTCTTTTTTTTTTTTACTTTTTATTTACTGCTTGTGTAATTAAAAATTTACATGTCTTCCCTGTGACAGGATTTGAGATCTCAATGCCCAAATAATCTTTTCTAAGGCAACAGGCTGATGTCTGCTGTGTTGAAGCTCATAAGCATTTATAATAGTAACCTGGCACAAGTTTTTCTCTTTTTTGGATACAGCATTTGCATCTTTTAAGAAAAATATAGCTGCTTTAAAATGTGATGATCATAAAGGGCAGTCTTATAGCTGAACCTGGGTCGGAGCAATCCCAGGCACAGCTACAGGTTGGGCAAAGAAGAGATTCCAAGCAGCCCTGCGGAGAAGGACTTGGGGGTGCTGGTTGATGAGAAAATGAACATGAGCCAGCAGTGTGTGCTTGCAGCCCAGAAAGCCAACCATATCCTGGGCTGCATCAAAAGGAGCGTGACCAGCAGGTTGAAGGAGGTGATCCTGCCCCTTTACTCTGCTCTTGTGAGACCTCACCTGGAGTATTGTCTGCAGTTCTGGTGTCCTCAACATAAAAAAGACATGGAACTGTTGGAACAAGTCCAGAGAAGGGCCACGAGGATGATCAGGGGACTGGAGCACCTCCCGTATGAAGATAGGCTGAGGAAGTTGGGGCTGTTCAGCCTGGAGAAGAGAAGGTTGTGTGGAGACCTCATAGCAGCCTTCCAGTATCTGAAGGGGACCTATAGGGATGCTGGAGAGGGACTCTTCATTAGGGGCTGTAGTGATAGGACAAGGGGTAACGGATTCAAACTTAAACAGGGGAAGTTTAGATTGGATATAAGGAGGAAACTCTTTCCTGTTAGGGTGGTGAGGCACTGGAATAGGTTGCCCAGGGAGGCTGTGAATGCTCCATCCCTGGCAGTGTTCAAGACCAGGTTGGATGAGGCCTTGGGTGATACGGTTTAGTGTGAGGTGTCCCTGCCCATGGCAGGGGGGTTGGAACTTTATGATCTTAAGGTCCTTTCCAACCATAATTATTCTATGATTCTATGATTCTAGCTATTAAAATCTACCAGTACGTTGGTATTTGTAAAGTTTCTTCTGCATAACTTGCCTGCAGTTGTCTTTTCTGTGGTGGCTGAACTATCTATGCTTAGAGGTAATCTTTATTACACTACTTCTCTAACAGCAAAAATTCAAGGCATGAAAAATGCTGTTCCCAAGAACGATAAAAAGAGACGAAAACAGCTGGCTGATGAAGTTTCCAAACTAGAAGCAGAACTTGAACAGAAGCACAAGGAGGAATTAAAGCAGCTGAAGGAAGTCTCACCTGAGCAGAATAAGGTAGTTGCCTTAACTTAAGCTGGACAGAGTTTATAGCTAAATTGGTGCAATACAGTTATCTGTGAATGATGCTAATGCTCCTTGGCCATACATCTCCTGAAGTGTTTCTTTTGACTGTTTAAGTCCTGTAAAGAAACAAACAAATATCTGTCTGCCTGATATTTCTGGACTAGGTGTTTTCGTTTTAGTGACCTAACAAAGAGTTAAGCAGAATGTACTTTGGTTTGAAAATGAGAGTGAAGACACTTCTGAATTACTTTTAGGGAAATAGACTTGATTGAGAAGCATCTGCTGAGAAGCTCTGTGGGGAATGAACATGCTCAGTTGTTAGTTATGAGCCTTTAACAATCTTCTGTAGTAGTTTTTAAGTAGATGTTTAATGCATAAGAGTTAAATATAATGCTTCTGTTTGCCTGAATCTTAGATTAGTTTCATGAGTCTTATTTTACTGAGCTGTCAAAACTTCATGATGGACCTTTCAGGCTAAAATCCTTGCCCTGGAAAGGGAAAAACTTTCCCTTTTGGCCAGTAAGCAGTGTTCACACTTCAGTGTGAAAGCTTGTACTAGAACGTACAGAGCAAATTGGAGATGCACAGCTCATAACTGTATCTTTGGTGAGACTACAGAAAAAGTAATAAAATACATGACTCTGGTCTGGGACATAAAGTGCTTTACTTTTGCCTTTGACGAGTTCTGTGCTATACACAGATCTTTGTGGTTAAACTTCATAAATATACCCTGGAATTACCTAGGAACAGAACTTAAAATTATTTCAGGAGATGTGCATCTCCTGAATGGATATTGGTATCCATGGGTATCCTGAATGGATATGGATATCTTGAATGGATATCTTCTTTTTTTATCATTTATACTAATAAGAACATTTAACTTTTCTTTTTTCTTTTAGACAGATTCTATAGCTGATGGGGTTGCAAATTTAGAGCTTGAAGGAGTAGAGCAACATATTCAGCATCCTCGAATATCAAAAGCACAGAAGAGGAGGGTATGACTTAATATTTCAATCAAATATTTGTAAAATTTTTAAGTTACATTCACTTAAACAAAACTGTAATAACCAAAGTTAAACAGTTTTGCAGGGGACGTTACCTGTCTAATTCAGTACTGATACTGTACCTACTGAATGCCTTGAAAACCTGTAAAGCTGCGACCTAGAGATACGTAAGCGTTTTATAAATAGTTGTAGTTTTTCACCTTCAGCTGTGAGCTGGTAATCAGAATAGGTCAGGAGATGAAAGGCAGAAAAAAAAAATCATTATGTAAAGCAAATCCTTCAAAAGAATTTCACTAAAAACTTTAATAAATAAAGTAATTGAATTAAAATAATGTAACATACTTCCATGTAGGAAGTTATGCAAGTAGAACTTTAAATATTTACCAAAAGAACATAAATACTGAAGTTCTTATAGTTTTTGATTTAAGAAACAGCACTTGATGTCCAGGCCATTAGGGTTGGATTTTGTTAAGCTTTGTATGTTAGATCACGATGGATTAACATGAATGTAGGTTCAGGGCCAGAGGACCACTGCTTTATTGCAGAATCCATCCCCTGTTACATCATCACTGCTGCAGAGCTGCCTTGTAACACACATGATAAAAATGTTCTTAATCCATGGCACCACATCTAGGCAAATTGGCAGCTCTGGAGTCTGGTTTTCCTGTATTGTGTTTGCCTAAACCAGTCTGGTCTTAATTTGTGGCGAATTGAAAGTGGGAAAGCTCATTCTCTACTGCTTCATTTTTATTTGCTCATTTACTTTGACTCTTATTCCTTTGTAAATATGAGTGTAAACTTATGAAGCATTCTATTAAAGTTATATTTATGTTGTGTATTATTTCATCCCCGTAGTATTCTCTATGTATGCATGCATTCTTATCCGTCCTTTAGGTTAGGAGCAGCCTTTTTTATGTGTGCAGCATAGCCCGAGGGAGTTTCAGTTTCATGGCATGAACTTCTTTATGGAATCATATGCGTAAGCAGTAAATCTCACACTTATTATGAAAAAGCAGTTATTTTCTGTTGTTTAGTTAGAATTTCCATACTTGACTTGTTTTTCAGTGTGTTGAAATAGGTGATCCTGAAAAAAATGACTACAGTTAATGGCCTTTGTGCAGTGTTGTAAAATGTAATTTTATATATTGTTATAATGAGGATTTCTCCACTCACATAATTTCTAGTGTGGTGTCAGAGGGAGTTTGGATATATTGGTCACTTACCAATTGCTAAACTTTGGGTTTAGAAGGTCTCTAAGATTTGGTAGTACTGATTCAGGTGAACGTTTCACAGATATGAATGTGCTAAGAAAACACCTGAAGAGTTAGAAGCGAGCACTAAGCCAAGAACTGTAGAGGTATCTTCTAAATATTAATGTTTGTGTGTGTGTGTTTTAAATCTAAGGAGAAAAAAGCTGCCTTGGAGAAAGAAAGAGAAGAAAGGATAGCTGAAGCTGAGATAGCAAACTTAACAGGTGCTAGACATCTTGAAAGTCAGAAACTTGCTTCCCTGTTGGCAGCAAGGCACTTGGAGATTAAACAGATCCCTTCAGATGGCCACTGCATGTACAGAGCTATTGAAGATCAGCTCAAGGATCAACAAAATTCCTGGACTGTTGCAACTCTGAGGAATCAAACAGCAAAGTATATGCAGAGTCACTTTGATGACTTCCTGCCATTTCTTACAAATCCTAGTACTGGAGATATGTATAGCAGAGGTAAGACTCAGGGCATAAGAGACTTTAAAAACTGTTACAGTTATTTCTGATAAATATCTATCTCAGTTACAGCTGAATTGGATTAACCCATTATGGTTTGTTCCTGAACTTTGTTACTTTGTTGGTTCAGCTGTGTTCTCTGGAAAATAGAACTATGATCTACTGTGATACTTGATACACCTGAATTTTTGTAATTATTTTTTAATCTTTGTATTTTTTTTCTTCTAACAAAACATTATTCCTCATTAAAAATAATGCAAAAAATTGCTGATTACTAGGTGGTAATTACGTTTTGGCATGTGACTGAAGTTGTTACAAACAGCTTGTTACAACTAACCAGGTTAGGGATGATTTTTTGTCAGTTTCATACTGGTGTTTTCAGTTTATATAGGAAAGCTGTTAAAACAGAGTGTGAAATTCAAACAAATCTGTTTAACAGTTTGCTTAGATGCTTTTCATTATTCTACCTGTTATTTTCAGCATTTATGCTAGGTCTTTTGGAGCCCTTATAAACCGACTTAACTGAAAAATATAAAAACATTTAGTGTGGAGCAGTGGTGTAAGCTGAGTAAATGTAGTTAAATGGAATTTATGTTCTTCTACTTACTTGAGCGATAGATGATTTATTCATTCATGTTATTCATACTCCCTGTCTGGAACACCATGTAAATAACTTTATACATTGTTTTGAACTTACTGCTACGTTCATTTAGTGGTTATATCTGTGGATTTCATTTGGTGACTGAGGGCTGTTGTGAAGTAGGAGGCATCTTTTCCCATGTTGACAGAGATAATTGTCACAGGATAAATGTTCCCCAAGAGAAGACTGAATAAAGTTGCTACAAAGCAGCAGAAAGTTGTGGTTTTCTTAAGTTTCTTAAATCTGTTTTAGGGGGAATGTATGAAAAACAATTCTGAGCAGTCGTCAGAGAATCTGTTCTTTCTTTATCAAAATCTGTTCATAGGATTCAGAAGCCTGAAGGGTTGTAATTTATAAATTTGAAAGCTTGGTTCCAGTAGAACATGATTTGTAAAAGGACTGTTTTGCTGTTAACGAAGAAGCTATTGGGAATAAATGCCTCAGAGGTTAAAAACAAGGCAGCTAGTTTGAAAACCTGTTGAAGTAGATTTTTATAAGCATACCTAGCACCTAGGTAACTTAACAGCTTAGTGTACTACTTGCTATCCCATTCTTATCTAAAGTCACAAAACAGCACTCTCTGAAACTTAACAGGAAGAAGAGTGTATGTAATTTCATGCTTGTTAGCAGTTCCCTGAATAAAAAATCTAAAATATAAATCTGTGCTTCTTGTATGTAATTGTCTCTATTCCTGTGTTCAGTCTTCCTTTTTTTTTTTTCTTCCTAAACCAGTTAATGGGTGGATTTTTTTTGGCCTCTGGTGTTTTATTTTCCTTCTCTTCAGTGAACATAGATATTTTCCTGTATAATGTATTTGGGATTTTCAGGTTCTGGTTCTTCATTACAGAATCAGTACTTTTCCTCAGTTGCTTGTTCTTAACCAAGGACTAAAAGTTGCCTTTTCTTTCCTTGCAGAAGAATTTGAAAAATACTGTGATGACATAGCAAATACGGCTGCATGGGGTGGTCAGCTGGAAGTAAGTATTGTATTGATCATTTTTGTGAAATTCTGAAGTGGGTGAATACACCTTCAAAAAAGGGCTTCACAAGAAAGAATACCCAAACGTATAAGGGAACATAGTCATAAACTATTTATCCAGAACTTTTTCCTATGGTTATAAATTGTTTCTGCTTTTGTCATGGTGCGTCACTATTCTGATATATTTGACAACATGCAAGTTAATGTATTTAGTACTTCTAAATGTCATTAGAAAGACTGACAGTATAAGTAGGGGAAGACTTTCTAAGGAGAAAGCCTTTTATGATGCAAGCTTAGACGGTAACAAGGCTGACTAGAATAGAGCGATGTTAATTTTTGTAATATAAACCAGAACTTGGGCTTGAGAAAATATTTATTTTAATTTGTCTTATTGATTCTTTTATGAAAGAGCAGTTACCAATTTGCTGAAGTTAGCCCAATGTTACCTGTGTTTTATCATCAAAACAATGATTAAAGTAACCTGTTCTCAATTAAAGTTTAAAACATGAAAATAATTTTGCTTATTTTAGTAAAGTGTATTTTCTGACAATATTCGAAATGTTATGCCTGAACCCATGTCAGCTAAAACTAGATGTCATCTCCTCCCTGCACTGTATTTAATCCTATTATTGAATTGCTTTTATGCCTTGAAGCTAAGGGCTTTGTCGCATATTTTGCAAACACCTATTGAAGTTGTGCAAATGGATTCCCCTCCCATTATTGTTGGTGAAGAATATTCAGGGAAACCAATAATACTTGTGTAAGTATGTAAATTTTATCCCTTCTTAAAATTACTGCACTTTTTTCTACAATGGAGGGCTCAGCTTTGATTCTCACCTGCTCTTTTATTTGCTGTTACATATCTGATGTTGAAATGCTGCTTAAATAATGATCTTGCAGGTCAGAAATTATGTTTGTGATAGTTTAAAAATACTAAGATAAGTTTTAAGGTACTTGTAATTAGAGTTCTTAAAATGCTGACAATCACTCTGAAGTGTGCTTTAGTCACTGTTTATAGAATGATACAAGGTTATTTTATCTCTTACATAATTACACAATAGTAGTGAAAATGTTGGAAGATGCAGGAATTTTTTATATTTTTTTTTTCCTTCCCCTCTTTAAAGTTGTTGTCGATGTGTACCTGGAAGTCACCAGAATTTGAAACTATTAAAGCTCTTCTATTTAATGATCCTGTATTTTCTGTGCTAAAACTTGAATTTGTCTAAGCTATTTTCCAGTGCTATTAATGTTTATGATGACATATACTTTTGGTTAAACTGAACACTAATTCTGTAACTTTTTTCTTTCCCAGGTATATGAGACATGCCTATGGATTAGGAGAACATTACAATTCTGTAAAACTTCTGACAGACACTGCTACAGAAAATGGCAGCTAGCATACAAAAATCAGATACCTACTTGGATAACAGTTGCATCTTGATGTGTTGGGCTCCAGACAATTCCCAGATAGACTGGAAAGTAAAACTAAATGTAATGGATTAAAAATGAAAAATACTTACAAAGTTTGACTGTAAATCAGAAATAGCTCTTGATTTAAAACAAAACCAAACAACAGTATTTTGAACTTGTTGAAATTAATTATGCTTAGAAGATCTGCTCCAAAAAGATGGCTGCGTAGATTGGATCTTTCTTTCTTCCTCTTTTTTTTTTTTTTTTTTTTTTTTAATAGAGCGTCTTCCCATGCTGCAGTGAAAATACTGAGTAGTAAATATTTTGGTAAATCTGCATTTCTGCTGCAGAGTTCAGATTACCTGAAGGTTCTTGTTACATTCTTTCTGGCAGGTTTTGATTACTGTGGAAGAGTAAAGGCATTTAAAATATTTGATTTTATTTTGATGCATGGAATATCCTCTACAATGTGTTGGTTTTTTTTTTTATTTCCAGCAGGATCTAGCTTTAACACTGTAGTAGAGATCTTGTTTAATTGGGCAGAGAAGGGCAGGAGGCAAATCCAGTAGTAGAGTATCTAGCTTGTCTGAAGGAATTGCACAATTTAAAGACTTTTGCCTAAGATTTTACTAAGATTTGAGGGCTTCACTTGTTTTTTTCCTTGCAGTTTACAGTAGGTCAGCTGAACACTTGGTACTGTTCCTAGTACTGAATCTGTAGGAAAAGCACTGTTGTTTGTGACTATACATCATAATATTGATGCAGGTTAAATGTGCTTTTCATCCTTCATAGTCTTTCATCTGTGCATTTCAGTGACACTGAAATCTTACAAACAAGAAGCTTCTCAATATCCTCACTTGAGGTAGTGAAACTCATCTGACCTCATAATCTATGGATCTGCTAAGCTAAACAGTGTTCTAAAGTATGATGTTTTGTAATGCTCTAAAACAGATGGTTGCATACAGGTGTCAAACTAAACACTTCGTGTTTTGTTAGTAACTTTAAAGGTGATCTGCAGAAGAATTAAGCTTGTTCTCATTGCTCCTTATGATGCACAGAGACTTGAAAGGTGGAGGTTTTTTAAAATGGCTTGGTTATTTTACATTAGAAGTGCTGATTTTTGTCTTTAAGTTACTGTAAACGTGACGCCAAAATTAAGCACCATACTGAAACCAAAGTTATGATGTAGTCGTTTTCTAATCATAGAAGTGGGTGGTGTTTTTTTTTTGTTTTGTTTTGTTTTTAAATCTTAGTCAATAGCATGATAATTTGTCTGTATTTTAGTGCTGATGAATTGGTTTGGAGAAAATCAGTTCACACCAAGCTTAAACATCTTTGCTCTCCTTTGAGGATTATGAGCTAACAGTGCACATCTTGTAGTCCTTCAGTAAAGCTAGCCAGCAGATTGACATTCTTGGGATTTATAAATTACAAAGAAAAAGCTGCTCTTAAGAAGGAGGAGGTAAGTGTTCACTTTATGGATCAGAATATGTCTTGATTTAAAGCACTTTGAAAGAGAGGGAGGGGAAAAATATCAGACAATTGTAGCAGGGAGGTTTGGACAAGCAAAATTTGAATTATGGCTTTAGACTGGTGCCTGCTGGGAAAACAAAGTATTAATCAGATGAAGAGATTTTTTTACATCCTTATTTATCTGATACAGTATAGCAAATAGAGCTGTATTTATAGCAGCTGGTTTAATGTAGAATTTGGTTTATTACCTTGGTTATATAAAATGATGTTTTTAATTTCAAACAAAAAATTTGGATACACCAGTATGGAAAAAGTGTTTCTGTTTTTAATACCACTATGAATTTCACAAATAATGATGAGAAATCCTCTTCTCTGCTGTTCAGAATTGACATGATACGAAATGCACATGCTGCATTTTATAGACACCCTGTGAAAAAAGTTCTTTGGTTTTCATTCTTGTTTCATTAACTGACAGAGAAAAGATGCCAGAATTTTGGAAGGCTTGTACCAACAGTTTGTCCTGTTGAAGATGTTTACAATTTGTATAAAGCAAAATACTGTTTTAATATAGTGAGTGAAAGATCCTTACTCAGGCTGTATGGGACTTGCCAAAAAATAATAAATTGATTTATTTGTGGCAAATCTTGTTGTGGTCACTTTTTATTTTGTACTTGTATTGTTCGCTTCTTAATTTCTAGTATTAGTAAGTTTACTTATGTAATTTTTATGGCTTTAGGGTCCTACTGTGGTACGAATTCTCCAACAACTGGCTATTCTTATTCAGAATTTTACTTATGAAATGACGTTTCTAAACAAAATTTATCCTTGGTGTTTTAGCAGTTAATCTTGATCTCTTCTGAAAAGATATGTTTGAAAATACTGTTGAACTTCATTTGATCTTTTTTATGTATGGAGAAACTGAGAGGGTTTTCTCATACAATTTACCTTTTCTTTGTCAGATTACATTTTCTCAGCAATGTATCACTACTTATTTTGAGGTTTTATATATTTAAGTAGCTTTTCTTTCTTTTATCTGCAGTTAATTAACATCACACTTTCTTCAGCCACTCTTTTAAGGACTATTAGGTTAATTTTTTTTTTTTTTTGCAAGATTGAGGTTAGTTTACGTTAGGAATGGTCACATGAATAGGAGTGAAACTGTCTAGTGGTCTGCAGTCAATTGTGTGTAATATTCTTCAAGGGGAAGAAGTTATTTATTGTTGAAAGCAATGGATACAGTCAGGCAAGTTGGGGCATGGAAGAAACTGGCCTCCTCTTGGAGCTACACTTAATGTTTAGCATCCATGCCTGTTCCCTTCACTTAGTCTGCTCACAGCTGTGTGTATTCTGGAAAGACCTGATCAGACATACTGAGTAGGTGTGCTGGGTAAGTGGCGTCTTCAGGGGTGCTACAGCCTTTGTACCAAAGGAGTGAATGCAGAATACCCCAGAGATATTCAGAAGGCCATGATGAGGGTGGACATCAGAATGTTCCATCTGCAGCATCTCGGTGGACAAGACAGCACTTTAAGAGCACACCTTGGGCTATCATCTTTCATAGGCCAAGGGAATGCTGTGAGTACTGCTTTCTATTTTTAGTCCTCAAGACAAAACCTGCCCTGCTCTCTGTCATCTCCTGGGATGTACTTATGAATGACAAGCAGCCCGTGTTGATTACTTGATCTATGTGGTAGCTGAGCAGACTTAAAAATAGCATCTGAAATATAGAAGGCATTTTCTGTGCTTTCCTTGGCTCCAGTAAGAACATTAATCCACCAATTCCTTTGTTTTGAGAGATTAGTAAAAGCAGCAGATGAGTTATGATTAATCACTAGAGACTAATGATGTGTGTAGTTCTGAATGCAACTAAAATCCTTAGCAATTGCCCCTGTACATTATAAATGGATATATCAAAAAGAATTGCTTACACATACAATGTTCAGTAAAATTCAAAATAAACTGATTTAGTCTCTGTTCCAGATTAGATAATACATCAATGTGTCAATTGACAAGCTTCATCCTTTCCACAAATCAGGAAAACCAGAGTGCATAAGCTTAACCAGTAAGGAGATAAAAAAATATTCATAGGGAGCTATATCTTCTGCAAAGCCTCCTTGAACTTACTCAGTCTCGCAAACAAGTTGTCGTGGTATCTGGAGAGATGAAATACATGAAGAGTCTGAAAGTTTTGTGTTTATCAGAAAAGCATTCCAGATGTGAGTTATGCTGTTTTATTTTTCAAAGGTTTTTGGTTTGTTGTTGTGTTGTTTTTTTTTTTTTTCCTTTGAAGAAGAATGATCTATAAAAACATTTGGCCAAGGTATCTGTCACATTGTTGTGTAAGTCATGAAGATGCACTTTAATAATTGTAATCTGGAAAGTATTTGGATACTCTTTCAAGGAAGTTAAGGATGTGGAGATTTTGAACTAACAGTTCTTCCTTTTATACATATGTATCCTATAAAACTCATGAATTAAACCTCAGCAGTATAAATAGGCAGTAATTTGTTGTTAAATCCTAATGAGGTTCCACTGACTTGGGGAAAAAGCAAGGGACAAGATAACATAAAGGAAACATTTTTCCCTTAGCAGTATGCAGAATGTTGGAGCACAAAAAAAAAATGGGAACAGAAGAGGGTAAGTTGTTGCTAAATGGGGATACCTGAATGAAATGCACAAAAATACCTAGGCTAAGAACAGTGAGACGATTGACAATACAAATGTAAGGGCTAGAATAGCTGTAGGAGTGGCCAAGCAGAGAGATGGCCAGCTAAGCTAGTAACCCTGTTTTCCAGAAGCAAAACACAGGTGGATTGTGTGTGTGACTGTGGGGGTCTGTTCTTAGGCTAAAATACCTTTCTAAAAGGGAAAGAAAAGAAGATAAGCAATTGCTGCTTTCTGTAGCTCAGAATGTGCTTAACAGTATGAAAAATACACCTTTGTACAGATCTTGTGTGTGTGTCTTTGCACCTTGTGCTTCTGAATCATTTCACTGTATAACCAACAGTCTCAAACATTTGATGAGCTCCACCAAATAGAGACCTGTTTTGTATCTTTACTGGCAGCCTTCATTGCACCGTCCTGACTGTCAGGTAGTACTGCAGATTGCTTCAATGGATTTCAACAACTTTACTTTAATCTCTGGTATATTTATCAGTATTTAGCATACTGTGTTTTATGTCAATTATTTAGTAGCAATATTTGTTGTCTGCTTGATCTGCTCTTTGGGTGTTATCCATCTGCTTCTGTATGTTTTATCACAGTTTTTGCAGACAAATACAGACTGAGTCGACATGGAGATCTTTGAGAATAACTATGTGGGACAAGAAGCTAGAGAATGTAATGAAAGAATGCTTTAAATCCAACTGGGAAAACTGCTGTTCAGTAAAAAGAATAAAGAAAAGATTCTTAAGGAAAATTACCCTGCTGATATTTCAAACCTTTACATTTTACTTTTTATGGTTTAATTGTGACAATTGAGTAAAAATTTTATTTTATTTTTTTTTTTAACTAAAGAACAAAGTGGATATCACACCTCTGATAGGGTGTACTGAGGTTTTGCAGATTCTGTTATTTCTAAAAGAATGGTAGCTTTGCCCAGCATAACAAATGATATTCCTTCTCTAGTGCATGACACATCACAAAAATTAAGATAAATGTCTTTTTTCTAGTAAGACCATTTGAGCTTCTAATGTTTTTTGTGAAACATCCTTGATGCTGGGTGTAGGGGTAGAGCTGTTCAGGGTTTTTTTAATTTAAAGAAGTGCCTTTAATGGTGGAGGTGTTCTGAGGGGACAGGAATGACACGGATTGCTTTTCTGAACTGGGCAATAATTGAACTGATACTTCGGTATTCTGTGGGTCTGTTGAGAAAACTGTATTAAAAAATCTGTATATCAGTATATCATCTACAGTTTGGATCTGTGCTGACTTGTCCCATGTGATAGCCCCTTCAGAAAAGGCTTTGCTACAGTGTGTTGGTTGGAGCTGGAGCTACAGACTGTGGACTATTGCAGATCTAGGACATCACTGGCAATAAAAAGAAATGTGGAACAAAGTATGGGGCTGGAGCGGTGCATTGGATGGATACAGGCTTTTAGGAAGAACAGGCTGGGAAGGGGAGGAGGAGATGTTTAGCTTAGTGCATGGCTGTTAAAGGTTTGTAGATCCTATTTGTTATCTGTTTGTAGATTATAGGTCAGGATCGGTGGGGTGACCTGCATGAGGCATGTTGTAGTGGGTGCCTGCTGTCCACCAACCAGCATATTTTTACTAACAGTGTTTTTTTTTTTTTTTCACAGTTCAAGTTCCCTAGGCAACTCAAGCCTTAATCTGAACATAAAACAAAGCAAGTTAAATTTGAAAGACATTGATTAGTAAATACATTTATTTATGAAGTCTCCATTAAAGCATGAATATGAAATCTGTGTCATTTTCCTGCACGATTTATTTATATATTTTAAGAAGAACACACCAGATAGCCTATTTGTACAACAGGTGAAACCATGTCTCAGTAGGGGCTTTCTTGTATTCTTGTTTACTTCACACAATGTATGGTATATATCACAGCAATGCATGTAACATTAAAATTTGTCAGATGCACAAACTAAGGTATTATCTTCAAAGAGTGTGCTTTCCAAAACTGATAACAAAAGTTGCAAGATTAAGAGTCTTGAAATAATCTTTATACATTTCAGCTGCATTGATCAGAGCACTTTAAAAAGGTAATTTTTAAGGACTGCAATGAGATACGCATTTAGTGAGGAGAAACAAAAAATCCAACCCTGTCCTGTGCACTGTGAAAAGAGATGAGAACTGCTGACTATTATTATAACAATCTGAGTGAAGAGTCTGAGTTATCTGGTAAACCTGATGTTAATTTCTTTAGCAGAATTACTTATGCATAAATATTTTCAGGGCTACAAGTCATTTTAGCTAATTAAAATCATTATCCTAAATAGGAATGCCAAATTAGGATATAATATTAGATAGAAAAGTAATTCCTAAGGTTACTATAATTAATTTTTAAAAGAACTTACTAAAGATCTCTAAAGCCGTTTGCCCGTCTGTCAAAACTTGTTCTTTGTTTCTCGCAAAACACTGACACAAGATCTTTGATTTCATTCATACCAATAGGTTTAAAAAAGATCCATAACTGATCACTAAAAATGATGCAAAATGCACCTTTATAATGATGGAAAAATGAACCTCTATTGTGGTTGCATTCCTACTCCTCACGTGAGTGAATATCAGAAAAAGTAGCACAGAAATACACCAAGAAAAAGGATGATCTGAAGTTTCTTAGAATATATTATTGAAGAATTCAATAGTTGGTTTGAATTATTTAGTTATAGTAAATGGAATATTTTGAATAGTCTTCAGAGGACCAACAACTTATGAGTTGTTTGCAAAACAGTGCATTATTCTTGCAGTGTAATTCCCTTAACCTAAGGTCCTTTCTTGCAGCAGTTTTGCTGCTTCAGTTTACATCAACTGTTTTACAAATTAAAAAGCTATTTAAGAATAAAGAAAGTAAAAACAGATGTTCCATGCAGTATGCTAAGTTAAAGCTCATCTTCCTTTGCAAAAATTTAGGAGCTCATAGTCTCCTCATGCTCCTAATACATACTTCTCATATTTTA